GAGCAGGATAAAGAACAAGCAAGTGGAAATTGGAGTTGCTTTCCCAGATTTCAAAAAGCGATTTGGAAGGAACGCAATTGAAAGAGTCATCCGGTATAAAAGCAGTAGAAATCCAACGAGCGACCGACGAGGGAATTATCGTCCCATNGAGCAGGATAAAGAACAAGCAAGTGGAAATTGGAGTTGCTTTCCCAGATTCCAAAAAGCGATTTGGAAGGAACGCAATTGAAAGAGTCATCCGGTATAAAAGCAGTAGAAATCCAACGAGCGACCGACGAGGGAATTATCGTCCCATCAGAGCTTTGTTGACAGCTTCGCGTTGATCCTCGTTGAGTTGGTTCACACAAGCTTCGACCAACGATGAATTGGACTGTAACAGAAATATTGGTGCATTATCACGAATACATATACACACATTCGAGATATGGTTTGTTTGTACTTTATATATACGGGGCTGAGAACTGGAGCAAAAGTGCAAACCAATTCAATTACTGAATGGACATTCGAAAGCAGCGGTTGAACAAGTCACCATGAAGTTTGAGTCCGGCAAAAATAAGATCACTGTGTTGAACCATTGAATGACATTAGTTCAGTTCAGTTTCTATAACTAACAGCTACGACACTTTGCGCGGCGGTTTTGGTTGCCGTCCTTGGCTATTCATAAAAATGAAGGGGTGGAAGGAAAACAGGAGAGTTGAGATCCGTGTCAAAGAGGAAATGGGGAATTCCTGTAGACTAAGGCTACAAAAAAGTTGGGATGCACAAACACCACTTTTACGACAGCCAAACTAGTCAGTGTATCGAACCGTTAGTTGCAATGATCTCGACTCTCCCATTCCGGCCTATACGACCCAATACCCTAGTCGGGTTTTTCATACCCCCGTGCCAGGTATTAGTCTAACCACCCTAGGCTTTTTCTACCCACGCGCTGAGGCAACCTATTTGGTGACATGCGTAAAAACAAATGTCATTTATGATTGTCTGGTTTACCAGTGGCGTGCTTCCTTTCTGACTATCGAATATGAACAAATAGTAAATCTTATGAACATCTGGATATTCTTATCGGGCATTGTTAGAAATGACCTCTGTAAGGAATAAGATATTCCAAAGCCTAACAGTGTCTATCCATAATTTTAAACGTACAACCGTGCTTCGTCTTCTGAGACTATAATGAGTTGGACGCGTTAAATTTCAATTTCTTGAATGTTGGGCAAGTAGTAGAGAAAGCAGACAAATTTTGCCATCTGGACAGCTATATCTCACCCGGTGGACGCATCATGGATGAAGTGTCAGCTACCATGCAGAAGGCTCGATTGGTATTTCCCAACTTGAAACATCTGTGGCGCGGTCGGGACATCCGGTTGTCTGTGAAGGGTGGAGTGTATGTTGCGGCAGTTCGGCCAGTTCTGCTATACGGTGCAGAGACATGGCCATTGAGGAAACGGCATAGAGATAAACTGTCGGTGTTCGAACACCGCTGTCTACGCAGCATTGCACGAATCTGGTGGGGTAGCCGGACGAGCAATGTTGTGGTCAGGCGCAAAGTTTTTGGGTAAATACGGTCGCCCACTGGAGTAAGTGGTCGATCTCCTTGGATTACGTTGATTGAGGCATGTGTTACGCATGTCACCAGATAGGTTGCCACTGCGAGCGATGTTCGCCCAGGTAGGTAGTGGGTGGAATAAAGCCAAGGGTGGTCAAACTAAGACCTGGCACGAGGGTATGAAAACCCTGACCAGGGGACTGGGTCACATAGGTCGCGTACTGGCTGGGGACCTCGGGATGATCGTAACCGATGGTTAGAGACACTGAGCGATATGGCTGTGTCGCAAACCGTGGTGCTCATGCATTCATTCATTATTCTTGCAGTCTGTCTATATGAATTCTCTATCTTTCGTTTAAATTTGTTCTTAACATTCCAATCTACAATCTGCTCCTTTATCCAAATGAGGGGTCAAAAGACAGCAACCAAAACTGGCGCATGGTTAATGGTTGAACAAACTGGAACTGAAACCTGAACGCGGGACAGTAGGGATACGCCACTGGTTGGTTTTCTGAGGATATTAAAAAGTACACAGCAGACAAATGTCTATTATCATTTGCTAATTACCGAATTACCTCGAGAGAGCAGAGCTGTGTGCTACGGAGCGCGTTCCCAGATCGTGGATAGGGCAACGGCCGTCAACTCGAGGCTAACCGTGAATAAGGTGGGCTTCGGCCCTCCGAATAAGCGATCACGGACGATCAGTGGCAGAACTCGAGGATGTGGTGGGTTCAAGTCCCGACAAGGGTTCTCGGCAGAACACCACAAATATCTGTGGACAGCGCTATGACGTGGCGAGTGTGGCCCGCCGCTAAATAAGGCTATAGCCTCTTGTCGAATTCCTTCGCCCGACAAGGTTTTCCAGAAGAGACGAATGAACCGAAAACCAGCCACCGGCACATCACTGCTGCCTTGCGGTCCGCGCTTGGTTGCGCAAAGGCTAGAGTGCATCCTCGAATAAGGCCTTTTCTGGACTAGGCCATCGAGTAGTGCAATAGCCCGCCACGCAGACAACTATGAACGTTCTTGCTCCCATGATTTCGCACTCTGAACCTTCAACAATCGAAAAACTTTCTACAACGTACACACCCTTTTGTCCTCCCAGCCTCCCCCCGCCTCACCTCCACCCTCCGAACTTTATTCCATCTCTCTCGGGTACTTCAGACGATCGTACTAGCGGTAGTGCCTCGGGCGGAAATTTTGCCGCTGTTCGCTCTCGTCCTACCTCAACTGCTGTCCAAGTCTTACTGAATCCTTCACCAGCTGAAGTCCTTCTCCGCCGTCGACATCCTTTCAAACTAGCCACGGTTAATGTGCGTACTCTACTGTGTATAGAACAACAGGCGTGTTTAGCTCGTACGCTCGAAACCCTAGACATCGATGTGTTTCATCCAAGACTCTAGCTCCATTATCCGATTGACGTCCTCATCTAACCAATCTATTAAGTTTCACTTACGCCTCTCTGGGGACCCTGAGGTGGGGCTTCTGGTCTTGCTGGAGTCGGCGTAGCTCTGAGAGAGCTGAGACCGCCCTCCTGGATTGGATACCAGACGACAATAGGTTGTACGCAGTGAGACTTAGAGGTTCGTGCAAGGTAAGAAGCCGTCGCCACGATAGACAAAACTTGTTTGTCGTTCCGACGTACGCTCCAACAGACTGCAGCCCAGATGCAGTCAAAGATGAATTTTATCACAATCTACACAACCTATTGCGTAAAGCAACCTGTGCTGATATCGTGATTTTATCAAATATTAATGCTAGAGTAGGCCGCTTGACTTCGAGTGAGGCACACCCGGGAGGTCCTTTCGGACAAGATTCCTGTAGCTCGGAAAACGGGGAGCGGCTGTTGGTTTTGTGTTCCGACCACCGCCTGTTCCCCGCTAGTACGAACTTCAAACGTTCCAACTGCCGATACGCCACTTGCCGCCCGCACTCCTCGAGTCAGAAACGAACGGAGATGGACCAATTCGCGATAAGCCACAAATGGCGGGGCAGCATTCGAGACTGCCGATCGTACTGGAGCACTCCCTTCGAATAAGACCACGCATTGGTAGGTGCCAAGCTGTCCACGTGCTTCGATGGGCGTCCTAAACGCACGAGACGACGGTTAGACTGTGATAAGCTGTCCAAACTAGCTTCTCTAATTGTCTTCCAAAACGCACTAACTACGATGACGTTAACCAGCACTGGTCGCTTATCAGTGCTCGGCATTCTGCTGGCTTAGTTAGTTGTGGTCTGACAAGTCACGCCGTGACGCCCTGGATCTCTGCATAGTCTCTACGTCTTCTTGATGCACGTCGGTCTATTCCGACCGGCAGCGAGCATAATGAAACACGACTCGTAACGACAACGTGAACTTAATGCAAGCCTACGCAGAGACCGCGAGATCTGGTGGACGCGCATTAGATGGAACGTGCTGCCGCCATGGGTAATTCCCGTAAGCCGTTCCATCTCATCCGGGTCACCGGTAGGAAAGCCTTAGGTGTGAGCGAAACGATCTACGAAGCTGACGGTTTGCCCATTCACAATCAACAGCGATGTCTTGAACGCTGTGCGGAGCACTTAAAAGCAGTTTAGCTGGCCACCAAGCTTTCACACAGCTATTCCGGCACACATCCCATGGTCTGTCTCAACAGACTCACGTTCTGAGGCGGAAATCCAAGTCTTGGGAAGTCACAAAGCGCCGGACTCCAATGGCCTTTTCCCCGGCTTTATTTAAAGATGGCAGAACTAAGCTTGTTGGAACACTGAACAGGTCCTCCCCTCGTGGGGGGAATCGATTATTATTCCCATCTTCAAAAAGGGTCTGTGCAATGACTGCGCCAATCATAGGGGTATAAGCCTCATCCCGATAGCGTCAAAGCTATTGGCGTCCGTCCTTCTCCACCGGTTGTACACTACACGTGAGGAGCAGGCTGGGTTTTGTGCCGGTCGAGGATGCATCGATCAAATCTTCACCCTCCGACAGCTGCTAGAGCGCAATCATGCCTACCAAAGACCAACGATCATTGTATTCCTTGACATTCGCGCGGCCTTCGACTCTGTCGATAGGACCGTACCATGGAGCTGTTTGTTGAGGAATGGAGTACCTCAAAGAGTTGTATTGTCATATCTCGGGTCGGGTGAGGGCCTGTGGCCAACTTTCGCCACCCTACGCCGTCTCCAGTGGAGTTTGGCAAAGTTGCCCTATATCCCCATTCCTTTTCAACTTCCCCATAGAGGATGTTTTACATAATGCTTCGTCCGGTCTAGCAAACGGGAGTCGAACTCCTCCGTGCTCTCTTCGCACGTGCCGGGCAAGGCTGGAGGAAGAGCCGCGGCGGTCAGATCATGACGTCGGCTAGAGGTATGAAGAATCTAGCTTCAGCTTTGGCTTCGGTTGGGTCCAAGGGATGAGGACTGTCGTTGGTTAGAGACGCTGAGAGATATGACCCGGAATAGAAGTCAGTGGCGCGAAAGATGTGTGTTCTGCCTGTCGAAATCCCGTGCCCCGTAAAAAACAACAAACACAAAAAAACATCAAAATGTGCACGGTGAAACACACGAAAAAATTTCCCAGTTATCTTTCATTTCCTCGTGTTTAACTGTTACACCCTTTTTTCACTCTGCTCTGTACCCTAGTCCACCTGTTCCCTTTTATTGTTGTTGTTATTATTGCTATATATACATAGGTTGCTTCGAAATGACTGGCTTTAGATGACAGCAAGTGAATAAACTTCAAAATTGCATTCAAACAGTGCACAAACTCACCTGCACATGACGCAAAATGAAAACGCATCGTTGATAAGCGGATAGTTTGGAACCGGCGGACAAACCATTCTGCTGGGAAGTGGGGTTGTCCCCGGATGCCGTGGTACTTTTGGGCTGGTTCTCGGAGTTCGATGTATCTGATAAGCCACCGGTAGCCATGGCCTCGGCAATCGCCTTCACGATTCGTGGCAAGTTGGCATTATCAGGTCCCAACAGGGCTGGGACATTTGCTTCGATTAGGTCGCACAAATATCCATATACGTGCTCTGTTTCAACAGCATCATCCCAAATTGGAAGCCAGTTGAGCCAACGTGGAATCAACGCAACTACTCCAGCTGCCCCTTGAGGCAGACATTCGGGACGGTGCTTCATGAACTGAAACGCAACAAGAGACCACAAAGGTAATGTTCGGTATCTTCAAAGACAGTAAACTAGAGTACGGGATGCTGGATAGGTCACCGACTCATGTGCTTGCAGAGTTTAGTGAACCAATAACTCAATGCAAACAAAGTTCATCTGTAAATTATTAAGTTGCTGGGTTACGAGTGCGCCTCCCAAGGCCTCAGTATGGTTGGGGGTGGGTGTCTAGGGTTGCGGCTGGTCACCCTGCCCTTACACCTCACGAAATGCCTCCATACGACCGAGCGTCTCAAATAGCCTCTGCTGAGGAAGCCCTATTCACTGCCTTTTCGCGGCGGAGGTGTTTTCCCACCAAAGTGAGAGGACGAAAAGCCGATATCCGGGTTGGTGGACCACTGGCAGTTCGCCTAGGGGAGTTAGCCAAAAACCCTGATTCCAAACCAACCATGATGAGACGTACGAA